GTTTCTTGCGTAATACCGTTCCAGGTCGTGATAGCAAGAGCAAACTGGAAGTCCTGATATTAGTATGATATAACACGATAAGTTCGACCGGAAGAGATGCCCGTACCTGAAAGGTCTGGCTGTTTAGACGTTCAACCCGTCTGATAGCACACAATGGGAAAGTGAAACCGTTTCCGCTAGGTCCAGCACCGTGAGTCTGGCCGGTAAAAGCGGCGGAGCTCGAGGGACTTGCGCCGTTGGAGAAGCTAGTCGGAGTAGTAGAGAAGCATATGTAGGACTCAGACAAGTGTAGCTTCCCGGCGTAATGCCAGCCTCGATCGCGATCTTTGTCTCCCTGGGTAACATTGGAGGGCGGTATGGTAAGTTCGGCTGGTATCTCGTACAAGGGCGTTTGGGAGCTCGGGAGTCGAAACTGATTCTGGAATAGAGAGGCCCTGGATGGATGCTTGTCGGAGTTGGTCAGGTTCAACCCCTGCATAGGATCAATCAGCTGCTGAGCAGCCGACTGAGCCTTTTGCACGAAGCTACTGAAGTTGTTGAACATGGTTCCAGACTCGACTTTGCAGCCGACAAGTCCATGAACTACCTAAGTATACCTCAATTCATTTCTAGGAAGCCGTCGACTCGGATGTGTTGCTTCCGAAGCGGTAATGCTAGAGACTTGTATGGAGGAGCAAGGGATTCTTCGTGTCGTTCTCGTCTCAGCTTTTCTTTCGTTTCCTCGTTTTCTTTTCTTGTTCAAAATGGGTATCGTCCTGCAGTTATTATTGGTCTTCCTCTACCTAGGTACTCTACTGCTCGAACGATTCGAATGAGACTAGGAGAGTAAACACGTCGCAAGAAGTTCGTGGTCGGATCAGATGGCATCGGATGAAGGAGGTTCGTCCGTTGGGGAGGTTTCCGCTTCAGGAGGCAGCACCTGCTAGGGCCTACTGACTGGTAATGACAGTCGCTGACAGCCGTGGTGCCGCCTTCAGCCTCCAGTAGGACCCGCAGTTCGTGGCTGAAGCCCCATCCCGAAACCAGATGTTACCATACTGGGCTTAGCTAATACAGATCCCCCATTTCTGACACTCCTACGGAATACATCTTCCTTTCTTTTCCCCGTTGATCGGCATTTATCAGAGGTTACAGGTTTTGATCTCGTCACTTATTACCAGCTGTCTTCAATGAAACAGGTGGTATGCATCACGACACGGCTCATAACAATTCATCCCTTATATATATATATATCCATAGCATCCAAATATAAATATACAATCCACCTACCTCAGTCAGATCATGTCAAGAACGACAAGATTATTGGTTCGATTCGCTAGATGCGACCTTGTCAACCCTTATGCAAACTAGCCGGCGTCTTGTTCCCTCGTCACACACGATGGTGAAGGTACTTTCCCATCCTGGCCTAGAATCGTGGATCAGGCGGCCTGTTAGAATCCACCTCCATCTCCATCACCTGCACTTGTGCCTAGCACTGCACCTACAGACCCTACAGACCCTACAGACCCTACAGGCCTAGTGCTGCAAAGGAGTTCTCCCCTCCCCTTCTTGCAGCAAAACGTCATCGGTACAAGGCTCGCGGCTGGAAATCGCACCGCTTTCTTGACGTTGTGCCTTACCTTACCTACCCTAACCATCCACTCTCACGACTTGGCCCCTCTCGTCCCCTTCCTCGCCCGATGCGCTAGGAATTCGGCAACTATCATATTCCTAGATCGTGTTACTAATATCAAATTTAATCGTTTACTTCATACATCTTTCAAGTCTTCCAACATGCGCATCCTCTAAAAGACCCAATCTGTTTATGCCTAACCGCTACTTGATCTCAACACCTTTTGGTCGAGCCCGTCCCCCGCAGACGCAGACGCTGCAGGTGATTTGGATCCGAGCGATGGGTGTTGTCTCATAATAACCCCCCCTCCCTAGCTGCGAAAACATTGGATAGCGCACGGGTACCTGCCACTCGGAAGATTTAGCTCGGATGAATCTTAAGAGGATGGCCGCCACGGTTGCCAAACCAGGCATCATCCCGCGTGTCATACAGGAACACAACCTACTGCCTTTCACAGACCGCGGGTCTCACCCGCAACCAGAGGCAGATGTAGACCCCAAAGTACCGCCGCAACATCAGCGGCTCAAGTTGACCGACTTCTCGCTCGTAAGGACTTTGGGAACGGGTATATCTCTACGAAAGCGCCTGTGCATATTCGACTCATGCTAAGTATGATACCACAGGTACCTTTGCTAGAGTTTGTCTTGTTCGTCCCGCCACCGGTAGCGAAGAAGACCGCGAGAAGGTCTTTGCTCTCAAGATCCTGCGCAAAGCCGAGGTTATCAAATTAAAGCAGATCGACCATGTTCGAGACGAGCGCCGCATCCTTAGCGACGTTGCGGGCCACCCCTTCATCACCGAACTCATCACTACCTTCTCCGATCACGACTCGTTATACATGCTACTCGATTACATTCCCGGCGGCGAGCTCTTTAGTTATCTCAGGAGACATAGGCGATTCCCCGAGGAGTGGGCTCAGTTCTACGCGGCCGAAATTGTGTTAGTGTTGGAGTACTTACACGACGACCAAGGCGGCGTGGCATATCGCGATTTGAAGCCGGAAAACTTGCTGCTGGACGGTGAGGGACACGTAAAGCTGGTCGACTTTGGATTTGCGAAAAGGCTTGGAAGCAGGGATAGTAGACCTAGTGAGACATACACCCTGTGCGGCACACCCGAATACTTAGCGCCGGAGGTGATCCAGAATAAGGGACACACGATCGCCGTCGATTGGTGGGCACTAGGAATTCTGATATATGAATTCCTAACAGGGTATCCGCCGTTTTGGCACCAGAACCCTATTGAGATCTATAAGCAGTATGAATCTACAAGTCTCCGTGCATGTCTCGTCAGCTAACGGGAAATCAGGATCATTGAGAAACCGGTGCTCTTCCCGGCGGACCCCCCAGTTTCACCCAACGCGCAGAGCATCATTCGGTCATTTTGTACGGTAGACCGGTCTCGGAGGTTAGGTAATCTAAACGGCGGCACTCAACAAGTAAAATCCCACCCCTTTTTTGAGGGCGTCGACTGGGAGGCACTATACAACCGCCAGGTTCGACCACCCATTCAACCAAATGTACGATATCCTGGCGACGCGCAATGCTTCGATATCTATCCCGAAGATGACGGTAAGCGGGAACCATACACTAAGGAGATGTCCCGACAATACGACAACTTTTTCGAGGGATTTTGAAATATGTTTCGGCACCCAGCGTATGTCTTAAACCCTTACGTTCTATCCCCTAATCAATTCGAGGTATAGTGTCAAGCATGCTTAGTTGAGTATGTAGACTCTCTACCGGGGAACTTTACCAACAACCTCATGTATCGAACGTGGCACATGTCCGCACGGATTCAAGGAGTTCCGGAGCGTTTGCTTTATACTATAGCGGCATCATAAAGTATTATCTGGTATCCCTTCCAATGGCCTTTCCGATTACTCTCTTACAGGGTTTGTTTCTTAGATCGGCCCAACTGTACGTATAAATCAATATAGAAGCGCATCTGTTTTCCTACCCGCCGACTCTTGCACCTCGAGTCAGAGTTTTCTTACTAAGCGGTGAAAATGAGATGAAAATGTCTTCAGGGGTGTTATCAGCCAGCTACCTAGTCTTCGGGGGATATCTATTATACAGCCTCGGCGCCCCCCCCCCCGGTATTTGAATACATATGTGGACTAAATAATTACAAGCGCCTTCAGCCGAAACCTAACCTTGAGCATATCATGTAAGCAAAGAGTTTGGCAAATACACCATATCTCGAAGGTGTTTTCCAACACAGAAGCGGCATCATGCTGCCGCGACTCGACATTGTCTCATCTCGAAACTCCTGGTTTTTAGTAAATTAGTCTAGCACATTATGTGTAAGACTCCGATGTTGTTGACTGGCAATCTGTACGCGGTATAACACTTGAGTAGTGGTGGAGGTAAAGTATCTATCCTCACTACAAGTTCTTCTCATGCGGATTGAGTCGACGGCCATGTCCATGAGTTTTAGGCACTCCGTGTCACGAATTAATTCAGAAGTCGAAGGAGCGGCATCGTTAAATTCTTTCAGGAAATCTGCACATGATCTCAAAGTCTTTTTTACAAATTTGGTCGAACCCTTGACTTCATTCAATTGGCACGTGTTGTGACAATGGCCGGGTTTTGTGTTCTCTCAATCAAGATTCTCATGGATCCTCTTTCAATGGCCGTGAGCACTAGCAAACTGCTAGCCATGGCTACCAAAACCACAAACCCCCCAATGGGAGCTATCAATTGTGCCTTCGATTCCGCAGAGCATATGAAAAAGATTTGCTCAGATGCCAAAGCGATGTTCAATCGTCCTTGGCACCCTGTCCGGATCCCTGAACGAGAAAGACACTGCTGCACTGGAAGAAACGGGAATAAGAAAAGCGGCAAATGGCATCTCAAGGGGGCCCACATCAAGCGTTGGGGTGAACAACAGACTGCATAGAAAGTGATTCTTAGTGTCTTTTGAAATTTTGCATCTTCCATCACGATTGGTTCAAGAGAATCCTACTAACCTTATAAGACGACAGATTTCTCAGGTAAAAAATACGAATATGGGAAATGCATAATAACGAAGAAGGAATTGAAAAGTATTATTATTGCTTAACCTTCATGAGGTTGCATTTCCAAAGAATGAACTTACCTACTTACAGCCAAGTTGAAAGAAACGTAGCTTGTGGTTGATAAGCTCCGAGCAAGTTAGGTATGTCAGCAGTATGTTATGTATTGTTGCATATCCTTTGCCTGGTGGGGGCTTGCATGCAATAGATGAGTGCTACCTAGAATTATCGCATAATCCACCGGAGCATTTAAGCTGCCGAAATGCATAAGCGCAAAATTCACCCCACATTTCGTCCACTTCCTCCAGGTGAAGGGTACCTTGAGGTATTTTCATTAGGCACTCATCGAGTCTCTAGAAGAGAAAGGCAAAAGGGTTTCGCCGGGGATCGAACCCGGGGCCCCTCGCATAAGAGCATATTATCGTATGCAGGATACTTGGGTGTTACCCTAAGCGAGGATCATACCGCTAGACCACGAAACCATTGATTGATGAAAGCTGTTGTATAATTGCATACTATATTCCTACGCATATGTGGGTCCAGTGCATAAGCTGTATCTCCCTGTCTACCTAACCTTACCTACCTTATGTAGGTACCTACATATGTAGGTAGGTACCTACCTCCTTATGTAGATCACATAAGTATTATTATTCAAGCAAAGACAATAGGTATGGAACGGAATTTGCTTTTTATTCATATCTCCTAATACTCATTTGATTTAACTATCCTCTTTTTTAGGTTGCCCCCATCACATGCAAATAAACCAGATGAACGCCCATAGATGCCAATGCTTTGTTCCTCTCCTTTCTAGATATACCCCTTAAGCACCGCCGCCTCGGCATTTAGTATCGACGAACCAGCAGCACCGATCACGGTGTTATGGCTAAGCGCGACGAACTTGAGATCAAAGATGCCGCTCTCGTCCTCGCGCACACGCCCAACACTTACCGTGTACCCACGGCAGAGATCACGATCGAGCCTAGGCTGGGGGCGGTCAGGTTCGTCAAACACCTTGATACTGGGCTTCGGCGCACTCGGGCATCCGAGTTTCTCAGCCTCGCTCTCGTATTCGCGCAGCGCAGCCTGCACGTCCTCGATCTTGGGCGGGGGTCGGTTTTTAAATCGTAGGGAGACGCAAGCAGTATGGCCATCAAGCACCGGGACACGATTGCATGCCGCAGACACGCGCAGTTCTTCCTGCTCGACGAATGCGGTAGCGTCGCTATTTAGACCGCCCAGGATCTTACGCGCCTCGGTTTCCAACTTGTCCTCTTCACCAGAGATGAACGGTACCACGTTATCGAGCACGTCCATGCTGCTAACACCCGGGTAGCCGGCGCCGGACACCGCCTGCATGGTGACGACGCTGACGGTGTCTACGGGCCCGAAGCGTGCCTGCAGCGCCGCGAACGGGATAACAAGACCGATAACCGCGCAGTTCGAGTTGCACACCAAGAATCCCTTCTCCAGCTTGTGGTGCTTGCGCTGGTGTGGGATCAGGTCCAGGTGCGGCAGGTTGACGGTGGGCACGACGAGAGGCACGAGCGGGTCGCGTCGGTAGTTCTTGGCGTTGGAGAAGACGGCCAAGTTGGCCTTGAAGAATTCCATTTCTGATGCGCATTAGTCCCCCCTCTGAGCTGGAAGGGTAGGCACTGGGGGTCTAGACATACCAATCTCACCGGCGACGTCCGAGTCCAACCCGCTAAAGACGACGTCGCAATCCGCAAACTCGCTGGCCTTGCACTCGCGGACGACCAGCTCGCCTACGGGTCCCATCGGCGACGCCTGCTTCCATCTCACGGCATCCTTATACTTCTTGCCGGCGGATCGCGACGAGGCTCCCACAGCGTGTAGGACGAAGTGCGGGTGTTGCGACAGCAGCAGGATAAACCGCTGTCCCACGGAGCCGGTGCAGCCCAGGACACCTACAACGGGCGTTCAGCTTAGCACGGGTCGTCGCTAGCCATTGGCCTCGGGGAAAAGTGCTTACCGCATTTCTTGGTAGGGAATTGGGAAGTCATTATGCTTTCTGGGCGAATTGAGTACTCAAAATCGAATATTTGGGTTTTTGTTGTGTTAATCAAGCTCCTCTAGAAGGTGAGTCAGGTCGCCTCAGTCCTAGTTTTATACCAACATCCATGGATCAGATCCCGGAGCCTTTCTTCAATAAAAGTGCCCCGCCAAATGGACCCCGCCATCCGCCATCGGAACTGGCCATCAGGGGTTATGGGCTAAGGCTGTATCTGGATCCAACGGTTCGGCTTCTGGATTTGTCTTTCCAAACGGCGTCTTCAGATGGAGTCTGCCGTTTGTGATCGCATCATCTTTCACCTTATGTACTCTGTAGAAATTGACCTTTACGCCTTTTTTAACAAGTCGTCAGGACAGATCAAGAGGAATTGGTCCCCCAATGAGACCGACTTAATGTCAACTCAAAAGCAGTGAAAAAACATAAATATGCGATAAGATGAGTAATAAGTCGCGTGGAAGGCCATTGACGCAGCTATCCTACTCCTGTTAACATTGGCGGGCAATACGTTGGAAAGATGTCGAAGAGGGAGAAGCGATTGAATGAAATATATGAAGATGTTCTGCGACAACCAATTATCAAGCTGTCATTAGGGATACCAAGTTTGCAAGGTAAATGTCAGTTAAAGCTTGACTGGATGGTGTGTTTCCAACTTCATCACTCGACCTACCTACGCAGAGCACGCAAAGATATTTATGTATATAATCATTCAAAGCCCACAAGACGGCAAGTCTATAAACATCTTTTTCCTACGCTCGCTAGACCATCCGCTAGGCGCAAGTATATACAAAGGGTTTTCTTTTTAATCACCGAAAAATCAAACCCCGAGCATCACAAGATGGATTCTCCCAATGAATCACGTAAAAGCAACGAATCCCCTCAAGTCTATTCCATAGGAGGTATACCCTCAAACTCCGCATAGCCGCGAGCCAAATTCATGTTTTCTACAAATTGTGTCAGTATACCTCTGGTGATTGTTGAACAACGATGGGAGAGGGGAGTAAGAAAGAAAACAAAAAACTCACGTAGACATTGTGTCGCGGCCCCCTTCAGTAAGTTGTCTATCGTCACGCAGATCACGACTCGCTTCCCCGAGCTGTGGACCGCAAACCCGCCAATCTCAACGCCGTGCTTCCCGCTGATCGCCTTAACCAGCGGCGCTTCTCCTACCACCTTAACCAGCTTTTCGCCCGCGTATCTATCTTGGTACATCTGTCTAATATCGCGCGAAGTCATAGTCTGCTTGAGAGGGATATTGATCGTGTGGTGAATACCCTGGAACCACACGGCGACGTGGGGAATGAATCCGACGTCGACGCCAAGTTGGTTACTAATCTCTTTTTCGTGGACGTGATCCGTCAAGCTGTAGGGGATGATGTTGTCTGTCAGGTTTTCTACATTGTTCTTGGCAGAGGGCTTGGTGCCGGCCCCTGAGTAGCCAGAAACACCAAAAACGGTAGGTTGACCGCCAAGGAAATCTACGAGCGGTGCGATACCGAGCTGCGCAGCAGTGGCGTAACACCCAGGGTTGGAGATATGTGTAGCTTGGGCAATCTGCGATCGCTTAATTAATTCAGGGAGACCGTAAGTCCATGATTTGTCGAATCGGTAATCGGCAGAAAGATCCACAATCACGCTGTTGTCGTCCTTGGAAGACGACTCCTTAGCCCTGTTGATAGCATCGACATACGGCTTGCATACACCGTTGGGCAGTGCCATAACCCATACGTCGATCTTGCCTTTCTTCTCCATATCGTAGACATCGTCGAAGCTCAGATTTTCGTAGATGATTTCTTTCTTGGTATAACCCTCAAGCTTCTTACCAGCCAACTCTCTCGACGACACGTGACGAAGCTCAAAGTTGGGGTGTGTGTTAATGAGGCTGATAAGGTTCTGGCCAGTATAGCCTCGAGCGCCAATCAAGGCAACTCTCGAGGGTTGCGTGTTGGAGGCATGCTTCTTGCCATATGGCGGGTTCGGGTTGGTTTCGGTCGCGAACCCTCTCCGAGACGCTTGTGAAAAGGTCCCCGCAGCAAGAGCCCTTGATACGGGGCGACGGGCGAATGTCGAGTAACCTCGTGCCTGGTTAGCTGTCGAACCGGACGCGAAGTGTGCTCGTAGGTTTTCGGAGGCAATTTGGGCAGCTCGGTGGAGGCGAGACTCGAGGTTAGAGTCGCCGAGCATGGCGCGGCCGTGCATGGTGAAGTCCCTCATGAGCTTGTTCAACTCCTCACCCGGCTCGATTCCGTACCAGAACATAACATCGTTGCCTCGCACGATGCTACCATCGGCCTTGTCAAAAAACCACGTAAGATTCTCATCGTCGGCCTTGACGGTCCAGACTAGATTGGGGTACTCCTTTTTGATAGCCGCGAAGAGGTTATCAGCGACGTTTGTCAGCCAGCCCGACTTCGTTATCGTTAGTGTGGCGAGTGTCGAGTAGGTCTGATCTGGGGCGGGGTCGAGAACCACGGCCAGGGCCTTCATAGGTTCGTCGAAATAAGCCTTGAATTTCCGGTCTTTCAGGAAGTCCAGATAACGATCCACCGTGGCCCTAGCATCCCGAACCTCTCTATCCCGGACAAGTACGTCCTTCAGCTTCCCTAGATCACTAAAGTCGGCGACGCTTTCCGCCGTCATCAACTTGTCTCCCCGGCGAATAAGAGTACCGGCTCCGGAATCCGTGAATAATTCCTTCTGCAGGTCGGCGGGGTGTATGATGGCAACGCTAGACGATCGGGGGAGATTTTCTAGGAGATCCTTAATCTCCCGGATCTTCAATCTGGTTCCGAATTTGCACCAGGGCTGCGACATAATATGATCGAATTCTTCGTCAAGGTTGATGGCCGAGATCTTCTGCACGTTACCGTCGAATAAGCCTCCCTTCTCGCTGAGGTAGACAACCTTCAGAGGCTCGATCTCACGGGCCAGCTCTCCAGCTGCGACATCGGCGTTGACATTCAGCACTTGGCCCTCCTTCGTCTCGGCCATGGAAGTGAGGATGGGTAGGTACCCATTCTCAATGGCAGTTTGGATTGGCTCCTTGTTGACTTCGGTAATCTTTCCGACAAATTTCCATTTTTCCTTGTCGAGGTAATCGGCGGTGAAGACGCTAGAGGTAATGGGTCGAGCGCGGACACCCATCTCTTCGAGACGCTGGACGAGCTTCAGGTTCTCAGCCAAGAAAAGCCGTCTTGCAATTCCCAGTGTTTTGCCATCGGTAATACGGATTCCCTCTTCAAACTCGGGCTCGACGCCTGCATCCTCGAGGAGCTTATTGAGCTGCGGACCAGCGCCGTGTACGATAATTGGGAAAAGACCGACGTGATACAGGAACGACAGCGAAGAGCACAATTCGTCGAGATAGTCGGTCAAGATAGCGCCTCCAACCTTAATGACGGCAAATTGCTGCGAGGAGACCGAGGAGAAGTGGGACAGGTACTGCTGAACCTC